GTCATATGGGGGCTACCAGAAAAAGTGGACCTATATTTATACTTTTTTGTGGAGGAATTTGATATCGAAAAAGAACCCATTTAACCAAATTTCAGCGAATTCGGTTGGAAACGCGCTCAAGAACTCTAAAATATTGAAAAATTGGGGGTACCCTTATATGGGATCTATGCCTAAACGTGGACCGATCTAAATCTGAACCGATTTTCCCAATTTCAATAGGGTTCGTCCTTGGGCTAAATAAGTGACGTATGCCAAATTTCATCCAATTCGGATAATAAATGCGACCTGTACTTTGTTTACAATTTAACATGGGCAGACAGACGGACGGACATGCATAAATCGATTTAAAAAGTGATTCTATGCATATTCTCAAAAGGAACCATGGGTCTATCTCGATTCCGTTTGCCTGTTAGAAACATATACACAAAGGCATAATACCCTGTACCACAGTGTGGTGAAGGATATAAAAAGGAACGAGATCATAAAAAGGAACTATATTAATTACAGAGCTAGAACTAGTTCCCATCGTTCCTTTCTCGGAATAGTTCCAATGAACTAGTTCGTTCCGGAACTACCCAACTCAAGTAATTTCCTACTTTAACATTGACATTGTACTAATTTAAGTTATCCTGCATATCCGTATTAATTTTGCAGGAATGCCAAACACAGGAATGGCTTTAAACACCTCTGACCGGATAGGGCTGTTGAATGTTCAGATGACCTCACCCAAGGTCATTTGAATATTATCATTTCCAAATATCTACAGTTTTTAGTTTTTTTTTTCTGAAACCGATTAAATATGGTCAAGTTATAAAGGAAAAATTCACACCCGACGGTAACCATACCATATCGTAGTGATAAACATTTTAAATTTCTGCAAATTTTTATTAGATATTCATTAATGTATTTTGTTTTTTTTTTCTCCTTTCAGAAATTTAGCACGAATGTGTCAGCTGCCCGTAATAAATCCAATGCGTAATGCCAATTTAGGACCCAATCAATTCGAGGATCCCAGTGAACCCATCTACACCGATCCATCGCTATTCGAACGTTCCAGGTTTGTATTCCATAGCACAGCAGCAACAACAACAGCGGCACAAATCAATGCAACAAATACACAACAACAACAACAAGAAAATGCTCAGCTAAATAAGCGAATAGATTTAGCTTAGAAAATATAAACAATAGGACAGACGATGTAAGCCAAACCAAAAATTAAATCGGGCAGAGGAGTAAAAACCACAAAGAAAAAAAAACACAAAACCAAAACAATACAAAAATATGTATGAATGAAAGAAAGTGAACACCAAAGAAAAAAGGTCAGATTTCACAAAAAAAAATAATTATTTATTTATTTTGAAATTAATAATAACAATAACAAAACACACATATACATATAGATTGATACACTGACAAATATACTAACACCAGAGAATGAGTAGTGCATATAACATTACGCTTCTAATTTAATCGCCTTGGCATGCAGGTTTTTATTTTCTTTCTGACTGGCTGACTGACTGACTGTCAGTCTCTTATTCCTATAATGGACGACAATTGCACATTCTCCTTTTGTCACAGCGACCATCACGTCCACCCAATAGTTGACATTCAAGCGTACACCAATCAGCACCTTTTTGTTCGCATAAATTCGGCAATACCATTTGTGTCATAACTATGTGAACAATTTTGCAGAGTCAGGCCCAAGGTGAGGTCGGGTACAGAGAAAAAAAAGAAGGAAAAAAAGCATACGTCAATTATAACCTTGAAAATTAATTTTATTGTTGTTTTTGTTTTTTTTTTTTAAGAAATTCCAAAATTATGAAATAATGCCATGGAAATTTCTGTTATTTTCTTTGTTTTCCATTTCAACTCACCCCCACCATAACCATCACGAGCCGGACCGGCGATATTGTGCAATTGAAAATTAGCTAACAAACTAATTATGATCAGTAGCTTGGTGAATAATTGCATGATTTTTTAGTTTTTTTTTATTATTTTTTTCTTTTTGGAATTTGTTGTATAAAATAACGTACGGAATTCAAAGAACCAAATCGAACGCGTTGTGGTATTGAAATAAATATAATCGTACATTTCTCGGCTCAATTTGTTCATCTTCGTCGTTATCTGTATTGATTGTGACTAATGTGAGAATATCAAATGCATAGCACAGTGGGGGACTTTTATTTGCAAGAAAGTCGATCTCATTGATAAAATAATTTTTTAGACAATTTAAATCAGAGTGTTTTTATACCCTACCTACTATACCATAGTATGAAGGGTGTATATTAATTTTGTCATTCCGTTTGTAACTCATCGAAATATTCATATATTCCGACCATATAAAGTATCAGGGTAAAATTCTATGAATATCTAGCCATGTCCGTCCGTCTGTCCCCCATATTAGAGTACCGCCCAATTTTCGATCCTTTTTATACCCTTCACCACACTGTGGTACAGGGTATTATGTCTTTGTGCATATGTTTGTAACAGGCAAAGGAAACGAGATAGACACATGGTTCCTTTTGAGAATATGCATAGAATCACTTTTTAAATCGATTTATGCATGTCCGTCCGTCTGTCTGTCGATGTTAAATTGTAAACAAAGTACATGTCGCATTTTTGATCCGATTTGGATGAAATTTGGCACAGGTCACTTGATTGGTCCAAGGACGAACCCTATTGAAATATCATTCGATTTGCACGAAATTTGGTACAACGTACTAAATTGAGCCTAGAGTGATGTGTGCCAAGTTTCGTGAAAATCGGTCCAGATTTAGATATAGCTCCCATATATAGTTTCGTCCGATTTCATGTAAATGGTGCACCAATGTCCCTATATATCTTTCGATTTGCACGAAATTTGGCATAACGTACTTAATTGAGCCTAAAATTATGTGTGCTAAGTTTCCTGAAAATCGGTTCATATTTAGATATAGCTCCCATATATATTTTCGTCCGATTTAAGGTAAATGGTGCTCCAAAGTCCCTAAATAACATTGGATTTGCACGAAATTTGGCACAGCGTACTGAATTAAGCCTAGAATGATGTGTGCTAAGTTTCCTGAAAATCGGGTCAGACTTAGATATAGCTCCCATATATAGTTTCGTCCGATTTAATGTAAATGGTGCACCAAAGTCCCTATATATCTTTCGATTTGCACGAAATTTAGCATAACGTACTTAATTGAGCCTAAAATTATGTGTGCTAAGTTTCCTGAAAATCGGGTCATATTTAGATATAGCTCCCATATATTTTCGTCCGATATAGGGTAAATTGTGGACCAAAGTTCCCATATATCCTTTGATTTGCACGAAATTTGGCACAGTATACTGAATTGAGTATAGAATGATGTGTGTTAAGTTTCGTGAAAATCGGTTCAGATTTAGATATAGCTCCCATATATATTTTCGTCCGATTTAATGTAAACCAAAGACCCTATATATCTTTCGATTTGCACGAAATTTGGCATAGCGTACTGTCAAAGTTCTTATGCTGCATAGCGTACTGAGTTTAATCCAGAATGTTGTGCCAAGTTTCCTGAAAATCGGTTAAGATTTAGATATAGCGCCCTTATATTATAGGTTGGTTTTAAGTAATTGACGCACCAAGGAACCAATATATGGCTGATAGGAACAAAACGTTCTGAAATTAGTTTAACCTAACCTGTGACAAGTTTCGTTGAAATCGGTTCATATTTGAATCGGTTCATATTTGCATCCATATATATTTGCGTCCGATTTTAAGTAAATTGTGCATCAAACTCCTCATGTATGTCAGATTAATATCAAATTTTAGCGCAATGTACAAAATTGAGTATAGAATAACGTAGTTGCGTTTTCTAGAAGTACATACATAGCCTAACGGTTGACAACGGATATTTGTTTGAAGTCGATTTACATACTTTTGTCCCATTGTAACAAACTATCCATAAACATGTCATTTATCGATAGATCTAGGTCAATTCACATTTAAACAAATATCACATATTTTATTTCATCCAATTTCATGATAATAGTCCTGTTTAATATACCCATAGTGGTGAACTATATGATACTATATGATACCCATATAGTCGGTCCCGTCCGACTTTACTACTTTCCTTACTGGTTTGTTCCTGAGATCTCTTTTCAACCGAATTCGCTGAAATTTGGTACATTGGGTTATTTTTGGGCATCAAATATCTCCACTAGAAATTTTAAATATCGGTCTATTTTTGGATAGCCTCCATAAGGGTATTTTTGTGTTTTCAAACGAATTCCCTGAAATTTTTTGGGTACCAAATGTCTCCATTACAAATTATAAATATCGGTCCACTTTTTCGGGTAGCCCCCATATAGGAGATAATCGTTACTCTAAATAGTGAGTTTTACCCTACAAATTATGGAATTCTAAGACAATTTAGCTATCGGTTGTAGTCGTTCCGCTTTCTAAGGAAATCTTGATAAAAAAGTCGAACTTGAGGATAATGAAATATATCCGCCAGCATTTAGGCATCTCCCCCATATAATACCTGCTGAAGGAAATAATTGAATTGGGTATATTCAATAGATGAATCCTAACAGACGTTGAAGGACCAGAGCTATATCTAAATCTGGACCGATTTTCAGGAAACTTGACACACATCAGTCTAGACCAAATTCATTACGCTATGCCAAATTTCGTAAAAATCGAAAGGTATATAGGGACTTTGGTACACCATTTACATTAAATCGGACGAAAATATATATGTTAGCTATATCTAAATCTGGACCGATTTTCAGGAAACTTGACACACATATCAGTCTAGACCTAATTCATTACGCTATGCCAAATTTCGTGCAAATCGAAAGATATATAGGGACTTTTTCCACCATTTACATTAAATCGGACGAAAATATATATGGGAGCTATAACTAAATCTGAACCGATTTTTCTCAATTTCAATAGGGTTCGTTCTTGGGCCAAACAAGTGACCTATGCCTAATTTCATCCAATTCGGATCATAAACGCGACCCTTGCGTACTTTGTTTTCAATTTAACATGGACAGACGGACATGCGTAAATCGGCGTAGAAGGTGATTCTTTGCATATTCTAAAAATGAACCATGTGTCTATCTCGTTTCCTTTTGCCTGTTACAAACATATGCACAAAGACATAATACCCTGTACCACAGTATGATGAAGGGTATAAATATTGGGTATACCCCTCATATAATTATAACCCCAATTATTCGCTAATTCCTACACTATGTAATCTAAATTGCAGTAGTTTTAGGATTGTATATTCTACCATGCGTGATTAGTATCAATTCACGCTTTGGGGTTTGCATAAACCAGTTTGTATAATTATCGGTATAGATTCACTTTTTGGTATGTTCCCTATATTTTCATTTCAAGTATCTGTCAGTATACCTATGGTGGAGGGTACTCAAAGTTCGGCATAAAGCTTTTTCACTTGTTATATCTAACAACAGTATTTAGGCGATGTCTTCCCCTTCACACAATAAAATTGTTTCAATGACCACTTTAACTGTATACGTATTTTCTTTCAATATATCTGAAGCTTGTCCGTAAAATGTTCTACACGTTTTAAAACATCTTTCATTCTCGATATAAAGTCCTGAGTCCTCATCATCGCATCTTTGTAGTATTCCATTTTTTCGTGGGCGGTGAAGCTTTCAATAGCATCTTTCCAATTTGTAAGAGGCTGCGACAGAAGTAATTTTGGGACTTGGTGGATGCCCATACCGCACCCTCCATTATTTGAAAAGAAAACAACTTTATAAAAAACAACTTTTGCTAAATCTGAAAATGCGATAAGATCATAATATTAAGTGATTTTTCAATATTTTGTCCACGATTTATGCTCTTCTTTACACTTTTAATGTGGTTTGGCATATTCTTTATATATATTTTCGTCCGATGTAATGTAAATGGTGTAATAAAGTGCCTATATATCTTTCGATTTGCACGAATTTTGGCATAGCTATGTTTCGTGAAAATCGGTTCAGATTTAGATATAGCTCCCATATATATGTTCGTACGATTTAACGCAATTGGTGCACCAAAGTCCCTATATATCTTTCGATTTGCATGAATTTTGGTATAGCGTACTGAATTAGGTCCAGAATGATGTGCTAAGTTTCGTAAAAATCGGTTCGGATTTAGATATAGCTCTCATATATATTTTCGTTCGATTTAATGTAAATTGTGCAATTAAGATCCATAGCCAGGCTGATTGATCGTTCGTTGAGGCCATGTCTTTTAGGATACATATGTAGAATATGTCCAAAGTGGTGAAGGGCAGCATATAGTCGGCCCAGTACGACGTTACTACTTTCCTTACTGATTTAAATATATTTTAGAGAGCGTAATCTGACGTATATTTTTATACTATACACAATAATCTGACGTATATTTTTATACCATACACAACTATGTTGTCAGGGTATTATAGATTTGTGCAGCCCCATGAGTTTGTAACGCCGCGAAATATTGGTCCTAGACCCACCTTTAAGTATACGGATCGTCATATCTCGACTAGCTGAGTCGATCTAGACATGTATGTCCGTCCGTCTGTTCGTCCGTCTGTCCATTATAATTTGTAAACACAATACAGGTCACAGTTATGGACTAATCTTCACGAAATTTTGCATGTTGGGTGGGTTCTGGTCAATGAAG